GCCAGCCACGCTGGTACCTCTGAAAAGGATTCCAAGCATTTGCTCAGACGAGATGAATTCTCCTTTTCCATTAACATTTCACAAGAAACAAACCAATGCAGTGATTCCAGCTAATGCCAGACACAGCATGCACAGAGACAGAAAAACAAAGGACTTATCAAGATTCACACATAAAGAGCAAGAGGCTTTTAGATGAGCAGGAGTTTTTAAGACTAGAATATCCCACACCAAGGAAGAGCTTGTCAATCCTAGTCTTTCGAGCCCTGTAAGTTTCACTTCCACTTTTCCTGAACTGAAACTAAATATAACAATTGCAGTTTCAGTTTAAAAAAAACTCACCCTAACAAATAGTAACAAAGAGTTTCTCAAAGTGCACCTGAACTGAGCCTTTCTTGGGCTTTTCCCCCCCAAGATACTGCAAAGACTTCTGAAAAAGCTGATCCCTTGATGACAAGAAACGTTGCACTTTCGTGGGAATATTACAAGAGATGAAAAAAGATCAAAGTAACTTTCGGTTACTTTGTTAAAGAAAAAGGGGCCAAAATATTTGTATTTACAGATCCTCAACAGGAATGACAGAAATTTCCAACCCTTTACATACCATAATGGTATTTCATACTTGCATGACTGGTATTCCAAGTTTCCATTTGCTACAGTAGTGCCAAAAATTATAGTACTACCCTAGCCCTCCTTCCATATGGAAGCGAAGAGTACAACCCATCATTAAAACACGACCACAAAAAATGTCCGTAAAAGTCCAAAAGTTCAGGCGTGAGTTCAGGGGAGAACACCGATGTTTTGGGAAGGAGTCCGGGAGGCACGGAGACAGGTGAAGAGCAGGGTCGGCAGCGCACGGACCGAGCGCACCCAGCACCTCCCGGCACGCACCGAGCCGGGGGACAGCCGCTCCCCCACGGGGGTGACGAGGAGCTCCGCATTCTCTCCATAAATCGCTGGATCCGGCACTAACCTTACACCGCGGCGGGGCGCGAGGCGAGCCGCAGCCCGCGGGACGCGCGACCCCGCCGTGACAGCAGCGGGGCCGCCACCCCGGCCCCCGCCGGGCCGTGACAACCCCGGCCGCCCCTCGGCCCGGCCCCGCCGGGGGCCCGCGGCGCCGCTCGCCCACCTACCGTGCTCGGCGCTGGCGGCTGCTGCCATCCCGGAGCTGCTGCTGCTGCTGCCTCCGCCTGCCCTCGCTCCGAGCTGATGCAACAGCGCGTCCGGAAGCCTCGCCCCGCCCGCCCTACGCTACTTCCGACGGGCAACCCGGCGTCACCCGGGCAACGGGCAGCGCCTCACGGCCCGGCCCCACACGGCCCGGTCCGGCCTGACACAGCACGGCCCGGCCCCACACGGCCCGGTACCGCCCGGCCCCACACAGCACGGCCCGGCCCCACACGGCCCAGCCAGCAAATGACCACCCAGGGCACCGCGGTCACCCAACAGCACCGTGCCAACCGAGCCCCCCTCGCCTTTCCTTAAACAGCCCCAAAGATGGAGGCGCCGCCGCCACAACAAAGTCCCAGAGCCAGGTTCTGTCTGAGCCAGGCTTTTATTGCTGTGCTTCAAACATAGCGGTGCTGAGCGGTCCGATACAAAACAAAATGGTTTCGGAAACTAAAGCATCACAGTACAGAAGAACAGCAGTCCCCGTCCCCAGGCTGGGACAGCTCTTCACAAACTAAGGGATGCCCGAGCTCCTGGCTCCGAAGTGGGCGTCCAGCACCTGTGTTTAATATTTTATGACTCAGAGGTAGGAAGGTCACGTAAACATGAAAACAACATAGCTATTACATCCCTTCCAGCTCTCTCCATGAGGTGAGGAGGCTGTCAACTCCATTTCTACTAGCAGTTTCTGACACCCTCATTTAAAGAAAGCCTGAAGAAACACATATGTATGCAGGAACATTTCTGCAGTTCCTCATAAACATTCATCTTCAGCTTCTACTTTACTTATAATGTTATTACTTTTTAAAGGGTTTGATACACTGTAACAAGCTTTGGTATCTATGTGCATCAATGCATCCAGTAAATTAATAATACAGTGTTTCTTTCCCAGTCTGTTTTTCCAGATGAGAAGCATCTGATGTTATTGTTCTTCTCTATCATTAGTAAATTTAGAAATAATTTTATCAATATCATTTTTCTGTAGAAGAGTTCTCATAAGCTGCTTCCACTGTTGTGGTGGTTCTTCCTTTGTAAAGACATCAAAGGTCTCTCTCCGTTCTGCAAGAAGAAACACACATCAACTTATTTTAAAACACAGGGGTTTTTTCCCCATAGCTCACATACATGCTTTTCCCTTAATTTTCAGCCAATACCTGCACAGACCGAGCAGCAGCAGCAAGGCAGGGTTTGGCACCTGAGAAGCAGCAGGACAAATAAGTTTTCTACTAAGTGAAAGTAGCTAAAGGTATCAGTGCACTTCTCAGAAGTGGTCTCCTAAGGCAGGACACCATCCAGTAAAGCTGGTTTTGAGGAAGGCTTCATTGGCTGGCGTGTTCCCTTGGCAGGGCTACTGGAGAGGAAGTTTTAACCACTTCACTGTGCTGCTGCCATAGGTTTGCCCCACCAAGACCACCACAAGCAAAACCCATCGCTTGGACACCCAGCACAACAATTTGCTGGGTACAGGTGGGTGTATGGAGGTTTGGTGTGCTCTTCCACATGAGGGGACATTTGACTGAGAGATCTCTCACTCTGACCTACACCTCACTCAGTAAAGCAGAGTACACTGCTGCAATGCAGACTCGTTTTAAAACATTTTCCAAAAATTTGTACCATTCTTACTCTTAAACTCATGACTGTGCTATACTCCCGTGCAGAAAAGTCATGCTCCAAAGTAGAACAGCTCACCACAGGGATTAAAAATACAGCAATAATCCTGTTTCAGCATATTTTACAATAAACTGGAAGCATTATAGCTCTATGCAAAATTTATTAGCCTCTTTATACTACTCCTTAAGGAGACTAAAGTCAACAGGAATAAAAATCAAATCCAAGTACAGCCAATTTATGGAACGCTTACCATGCTGAGAGAGATCTTCAACAATTGGTTCTTGTACCTGTAATACAAAGTTGGACCATTACTCCAACAAATCAGGGTGCTTCACTCACTGTTATTTTTTACCTATTTGACAGCTGGCTTTTACATCACACACAGCAAAGAGGGAACGAGCAGCAGATCTCAGAGCAGGCCTGAATGTACAGGAGTAAAGAAAATTGCATGGTGAAACAAACACACTCCTGGCTCCAAGGCAACATTCGCTGCTATCACAAAAGAGTAGCTTCTGTCAGGGAGATGAAAGAGGCAGAGTAAATTAAATGAGGGATTGAAGGTTTTTTTCCCTCAAACTATCACTTCCCCTACTTCCTATCTTTAAGGCAAAGTTTCCACTATTGTTTTGCTGAAAGCTCTAGGAATAGTTACGAGCTCAACTAAAGGGATACCAATATTAGAGAAAATACAATTATCACTTCACACACGTACACTTATCTTACAATTTGCTGGAGCTCCATTTGGAACATTAGATAGGACAGTCTGCTGAGAAGCAGAATTCTGAACAGGTTTTGCTGCCAATGAGAACTTAGAAATCCTCCTCAACCACACTGCCATACGGCACTCCCAACTCCTGCACTGGACAGTGCCTGGCTCAGAAACCACACTATCTTCCACTATTTTCTTCTGGGGGAAGAAAAGGAAATACTTCAAGTTACCAGATGTCAGAGACATAAAAGGAGAGCTGATAATTTGGCAAAGTAACAGCCTTTACAGAATTAGACTTGTAAGGTCTGAAGTTTCCCTCACTTGCCTCACGACTGTTGCAAGGACAGAGACTGAGACCCTGAAGTTCTGGCCTGGCTGAGGGGGATGCTCGCCAGGTGATTGTGTGCAGGTGTGCTTGCTGTGTCACCACAGCACGCTGCTTAGGGCAGGGGCTGGCAAGGAGCAGCTCGCTCTGTGTGCTTACACCTGCTTCACAATATCCGCTCATCACAATAGCCCACGGACTTCCCCTCCTGGCCAGATGCCACCCACTTCAGAGAAAGACTAACTTTCTGAGGTAACTTTGGTGATCCCCCAGAACACCCCTCATCTGCCTCACGACCACCATCAAGGATGGAGATTGAAGCCCCCCCCAAGGACTAAGACCCTTAAAATTCTAACACGCGGGTGCTGGGCTGGCTGAAGTGGGATGTCTACCAAGTGTTGCCTGCAGGTGTGTTTGCTGGACCAAGACTGGTTTCCCATGGGAACCAGTCCTGAAACAATGGATCCTGCTCACTGCTGGGACTGAATTGTCCTATTCGGAACTGGACTGTCTGTACTTGTTCTCAATGGACTTATTCTCCACTGTCCTGTACCCGTTCCCTTAACATAAGACTGTAAAAGACCCCTGAGTTCACCAAAGACTTCGAGATTCTCCCCAATGTGACAAGACAGATCTATTGGCCAGAGCACGAGGATTTTGTCTCTCCATTGGTAGCTAGTCCCCCCCACCTTGTCTCTCTCTATCCTTTATCTCCTTTCTAATCCTTCTATCGCATTTGCTGAGGGCACTCAAGAAAAGGGGCATTTGTTTTGATTAATACTGCAAGGCCCCTGCTGTGTGTCTTTTGCACTCTGAGATCGGTAAAAGGAACCACCACAGCCCCCACTAGTACTAGCAGATTGTGACAAAGTAGTTTCAGAGCCTGACTTTCCACCTTCCTGGCTGTTCTACACCCACCAGACTGCAGGGTAAGGCACACAAATTACCTCCACAACAACCACAGGAAACTTTTCCTAATGTTCTTACTGATGTGGATTGCTGCTTGCTCCTCTCTAGGTACAGAAGGTAGGTACCCCTCCTAAGGCAGGAGGCAATTATACTGCCGTGCTGCACCTGAGATGACTACACAGCACCAGGGGCCCCAAGCATATTGCTGTGTCAAGGCTGATGCTCAGAGCTGTTACCAAGTAGCCTGTCAGCTCCATGGCAGTGCACTACCTTGGGCTGTCTGTGGCTGAATTAACTTTCCTGGTGGGTTCACAAACTATAATCAGTTGAACGAAGCCAATGAGCACCCATGTACATTACATGGTTTTTGTGAAAGGGGAGAAAGAGGGAAGTCAGCAAGAAACACCCTCTTCATTTTTGGCATTACCAATTCATTAAACAAGCATAGCCAGGATGTACAGCACCAGGTCAGCATGAACAGTACAAGCACAAAGCAGAGTAGCATGTCTCACAGGACAGGTAGTGCTAAAGCTGGCAATAGGAATATTTTTTTATGTGTGGAAAATGAGGATGAAGCATTCTGCCCCTGAGACTTATGTTTATTAAGGTACAAGCCCTTTGTAAGCATAAGCCAGCATATTTTCTGCTTGCACAGTGACAGTGATCCACAGGTGACACCACCCCATGACCAACATGCATAAGTGGGAATGTGAGGAGGAACCCTCCTACATACGACACAGGTAGTCGTACACCATTCTCACTGAAAACATTTGCTGTTTAAGGGTATAAACACATTAAAGAAGTTGATCTTATTTATACAGGATAATTCTTAAGCAGGAAAACAAATGACTGAAAGAGGACTGCCGTGGCTGACACTTTTGTTTCAAAACCCAGCATCAGCAATTCAAGTATCAGCAGTTGTTGGGGGCATTAGAGCAGTATGAATTCACTGGTTCTTTGGAAGGGAAGATGTGTAGATGCCAAAAGTCTCAGAACTGCATCAGTGTAACTCTCCTTAGCAAATAAACTCTTACAGCAGCATGAGAACTCCAAGTGCAGACTTTGCATCTGCCTGTGACAGCTCTTAGATGAGAGACAAGTGCATCATGCACCAATTTGTAAATGCATCATTCTGCAACTATTTTATTGAAATTAAAGACATGCTATATTTGCTATTCCTATGCTACAGCATTTTGACCAGGTTTTTTGTAATGTTTCTTCATCAGCTTCTACAAATAGATGAAGTGCTGCAAATCTGGCCAGGGCGTGAGGGGAGACACAACCCAACAAAAAACCTGGGGTGTTTCACATATTTGAGCCACTTACGGACCTTAAAAAAGAAAAAGAGCAGAGTTTAGGGTGAGCCTTCAAACATCTTTCAATTCTGTTTCTTCAGTCTTCAAGTATTTTTGGCATAATTAAGATGCATTTAATTACTCAAAATGTCTAATTAACAACATTAGACAAGAGCACATACACTGGGTGGGTAATGTTCTGGTGAGGGACAAGAGAAGCTCCAGGAAGAAAATAAGTGCTGTACACACACTGAGAACAGTCTGGATATTTTTCCTAATTGCTCATCAAGACTAACATTTGTTGTTTAAAACTAAGACCAAGCTAATTTTTCCCTTTCCAGTGCTGGTAACGATGTAGTTTCTAACTAGAGAAGTTAAAGCCAGCTTGTATTTACTTCATCCAGCTTTGTATTTATCTTGCAGAATGCTGGACTAGCAATAGTTTTTTTCAGACTCAAACAGTAAGGTTCTGAAATAGTGTATGGCTACAGGATGCCAGGGTATACCCAGCTTCAAGTCACAACATATGCCAGCCTCAGCTGGATAAACCCTTTTAGGGATGTACTTTGAGACTGGCATGCTCTGAGCCCTGAACCTCTCCTCTTTTGGGACTGCTTAGGACCAAGAATTCAGACTGTCAGGTCCTGGTCTGTAGCTTGTGACGTGAGCCCCAAGGCAGGAAGACTCAATCACTTCACTGCAACAGGAGTGGTTAAGTCTTATGAACAAATAATTTGTAGTCACAATGCAATGAGAGCTGGAACACCACCATGCTGCAACACCAACCAGTAGCTGCCATCAATTGGGGAATACACATGTGAAGCAGCAAAAAAGAAATTAATTGGATCAAGGTATCCCCTGGAGACAGTCTGAAGTGAAAACTTGCAGCTGGTCCAAGTTTTTTCCCCACTTCCAAAGCATCCTGGTCACAGGCTCTGAAGTGTTTTCCAGTATTAACAAGGCCAACTGCAGCAGACACACGCAGCTATTGAATGCATCAGACACTTGCTAATTAATTTTTGACCTTGTATGAGTCACAACTTGTTGCATCACAGGAACACATCCTATCAGAGATCTACAGTGAGACAAACATGGAGGGCTGTGTGTCAGGTACGATTAGGCTGTGAGCAATCAGACTGAGATAAAACACTTGGTCCATCGCATACTTACCAGATGTCCCTCTACATCTTCAACAGTTGAGACAGCTGAAAAACAAAATAAGTGTCTGAGAGACTTATAGGAATTGCAGAAACTTAAACATGGCTGAAATAACACAAGACTTATACACAATAGAAACTTTTGTAACACAGCCAAAGCTTTTAAAAGCCATTTAGTTCCTTTGACCTGTCATACATTTCACCCCAGTACTACCCTTAGCTTCCACCAACAGCACACTGTGCCTTAATCCTGCTTAGTAAAATGCAGACCACAAGATGCTGACTTTTAAGCCACTCTTGCAACCTCCCCTACTCCAGCTTTTGTTTCTCAGCATTTTTGTAGGCTATTGCAATACAGAAGGCAGAAACGGTCTTTACTGCAATACAATCAGTAAGACATGATTTCAACCAACTTAGCACTTAAGATTCATAATAGCTTTCAGTATTATTTTAACCATGCTAGCAGCAAAAATACTTTAAAACACAGTAGTGGAAATAGAAGTCTCCAAGGAAAACAGCTTAGTTTCCACTAAGAAATAAGTCCTGTGTGAATTTATCAACCTAACATTCACATTAAGAGGTTCAAATTACTAAAGGGAACCAATTTGCACCAAAAAAATCTCTACAACCAAACACAGTGAAAGTAATTAGTTGCTACTTTTTGCCCCATGCATGGGATCCCCCACACAGGTTTTTCCTCTTTGCCAATACAAGGCAAGTTGACTGGAGAAGTCCTTTTTTAAGGACCTTAAGATAATCTTGCTTTGAAGCAGAGGCATCTGTCAGCAAGATAAGAAAGCTTACAGTTAAGGATTATGCATTTTATTTACCAACCAAAACTACTCTTCACTGTACTAATTTGTTAATTTCAATCACATGCAAAATGAACTAGCACTTAAACAGGTCCCCTGTAAGGCAACACAAGAACCAGGGACAGCCCTAGTGCATACTTTGACTAACTCTAGAAAGCACATTTCATAGATAATAATCAAGCAGTTACCTTTATCACACTTCAGCTTTTTAACAGCAACAACAACACCACCAACTACTAGCAAAAACAAACTAAACAGAAGCACCGGAATAACCCAAACATGAGCTTCATTCCCTGCAAAGTAAGACAAAAAAAATTAGTACTGAAACAGTCCCCCAAAAAGATATTCCTTGCTGTCCTAGAGAAAAATCTAAGCCCGGAACTAATACAATAACCCAGATAGTTCATCCTGGGACTCTCATGGACACGTTGCCCTGAACACGTGGGCGCTTGTTTGCACTGCACTTCATGCTCCCAAAGGCATCAGGGAACTCTGCAGAGAGCTGCAATACAACTTCCACAAGGTTTTATGGAGAGACACTTAAGGGGAAACAAGCATGCAAATGATGATAGCAAGCTTTGGGTGCTGTAGCACAGACAGGGTGCATTCCTGGCAGAAGAAGCAGCTACTCCAGGCACAGTAAACACCTTCACACTATCCATAACTTTCAACTGTGTCACCCTTGGAACTTTAAGAACCCTGGCAACACATGTAGCTTTCCACCAAGTGAAACTCAAGGGGGTTTGTCCCATCAACCCCTTTGAGAACTTGTCTTTAGCAAAGTACTTCCAGACTAAAATGCAGCTGCTCTTAAATACATCACAGAGGTTGAAACCACTGTTTTACAGACTACTCTGGTGTTACTAGCGTGAAGCCACGGACCCAACAAACCAAGGTGAGGGGGATTTATGTACCAGACCTTGATTGGTTAAGCCTAGTTCTGTAGTATCAGTGGAATTCAGCACAATTTCTTTCCCATCCGGATGCCTGAAGTGGACAGTAACAGAACATTGTATAAACATTTCCAGATCAGTCCATAGCTCTGTCCAGGCCTGATACTTTTTCAGACAGAGCTCAGAACCATGAATGGAACATACATAAACTTTTATAGAGGTGTAACTTCAAACAATCCAAGATAAGACTACAAGATAAAATAAAAGCAAAGCAGATAAAATTAATGTACGTTAGCTTCTAAGTGGACGGGGGAAAACAAAAAAACCCCAGAATATAAGCATTATTCATGCACAGTTAGTTTCCTTCAACAGGTAGGTCTACATACTAAAATTTTAAGCTGGGTGCTACAAAGTTCATTCAAGTGTGTTTCTGTGGAAATACCAACCTGAAGACATGAAAAATGTGAGTTTACATCCATAAGCAACAAGCACAATGATACCCAAGTCCACATCTTTCTAGGTCTCAACATCACAGGTTTTGACACCTAAAATTAAAATGCATGAATAATGCCATTTGGCTTCAGGGCAATTATTTACAGCCCGCTGACATGTGTTAACTATTGGCACAGATTGGGCCACAGCTCTAACATTCCCTAGAAAGAAAATAGCAACTTATTCTCAAACTTACTTTTGACTGCTTCTCTGACACATTTCACAGTCCTCATCATCACAGAAATACCCTTGTTTGCACTGGCATTCAGCATCCTGTGTCAGATTACAGGGTCTCAGAGTTATCTGATCTAAAAATAAGTTAGCAAGTGCAAAGATTATACTCAGGCCATAATAGCAACTTACTTTTAAATTCAATATGCTCAATGAAGATCACATTAAAAAAAGGGGGAAATTGTTAAGGTTTCATAAGGTTTGGTACCCTCTTTGCACTGTTTGCAAGGCAAGCATTCCTCCAAGCCGTTCTCATGGGCAGTAAAGCCTTTTCCTTCCTTGCAAGGTTCACATCTTCCTTTCAAATGCGAAGCACTGCAGTGATCAGCAACAAAGGTACCTGTGAGAAGTGACAGCAGAGCAATCTCAGGGGATCTTCTGACAGACACAGGGCCAAACTCAGATATTACAACAGGCTAAACTTAGATATTACAACACAGATTTCTGGGAGAAGTTAAATTCTTCCTTGTGAATCAATCACATGCCACACAAACCAAGATGCACAGGAGAGTCAGGAGACACATGTGCAACTTGCTGCTCAGACAAGGGAGAGGCGCAAAATATCCTTAGGTTATTTTGAGGTGTCTAACAAGGCATCTGCTGGAAGGATGAGTCACCGCGGCAGGCAGGGATCCTGTGGATGGTACCACTGCTGAAGGAATGGGGCAAGCCCAGGGAGAATTGCTTTCAATAAACTTTTTTCTCCTTTGTCTGAACCCCACCTAAATGCACCAGTCAGCTTCTGATAATAACGAGAGGTGTCTTCCTGATGCAAAACTTGTTAGCACTGCACACATTGACCAAGCAGAGGAGAGCAAAACCATACTGAAGCTTTGCCTATAGATACAGAAATATCAGAATTCCCCTAGGGCTGTTCTTTAACTAAATCACTTAACTTCAAAAACTTTTTCCTCAACCACAAGCAAAGGCTTCCTGGTTTGATGCCAAAGCACCTCTCCTAGTCATCGCCTGTTGCGTTAAGGGGCTCTCACTTCAAAATGGAGCCCAGCCTTTACAGCATCAAGGAGTCCCCACAGCTCCAATCAGGCTTACACTTTCATAGCATGCAATGTAACAAGCAATTGCCATCAGCTGTAACTGCTCAAAGTCTTACCTGCTTCACAAAATACACAGCAGAGACCTTGATGGGAGTACTCTCCCTCCCCACAGTTCGCTCGGGCTCTAGGCATCGTCAGGAGCACAGCCTACAGCGGAGGCAAGCAGGCCACTTGAGTGATTCATCCTCTGCGCACACGATAACTATCTTGGGGAGATTAACTTGTAAAGACTTGGAAACTCATTCAGAAGTTTATGGGAAGCCACAGAGGAAACCCAAACTAATTTCTGCTAAGTGGTGCTCACAGCAGTAATTGCCATCACAAAGCTGGGGTTAAGGCAGCACCATGCAGCGGCTGATGGGCTTTAGGCAACTATTGCAACACATTCTCCATGTAAACTTCTGGGTTTTTTTCCACTATCTCACGGCAGTTGAACTGCAGACGCCAAAGTTTCTGCGGTGTGCAAGGGATTAGTTTCTCCCTTCCCCCATCCTTTTAATTCGTCAGAATCAGTGCTAGTCTAACTCCCGCAAAATTGAGGAAACGCCCCACAGACTCATCCAACACGTCTCACTGGCTCGAATCTTAAGCAGAAGACAAGTCGACTCATTAGCAATACTACAGGAGCATTGGGAATGAATTTTTTTTTTTTTTTTTTTTTTTTTTTTTAAGAGGAAGAAAGGTGCAGACCGCGCACTCCCGGGCAGGGCTCCCCCGCAGCCTCCCAGTCCCGGTAGGTGCAAGCGCCTCCAGGGAGGCGAGCGCAGGCTCGGTGGCGGGGCAGCTGAGTCACAGCCCTCCCTCTAGAGCCAAAGCAGATGCAAGGGAAGGGACCGCCATCGAGCTCCCGATCACTAATGGTCACCAGCGGGCAACTTCTAAGCTAAAACCAAGAGGGTCCCGCTCTTTAAACTCTCTCCCCGGTAGAATGAAAATCTTCCCCGTAACTATGAGGAGGTGAGAAAACTTCCAGTTTCACACTTAAATAACCCGAGGACTATTAAAGAACTCACTCCTGACTTGTAACTTTTTTTTCCTCCGAGGAGAGAGGGAAGAGCGAGAGCGGTAGGAAGAGATGCGGAGACAGCATTCCCTGAGAGCGCCGCTTCGCGGCAGCGGCACTGCCGCACGTTTCCCGAGACATCAAACACGAACAAAAAGTTCGGGAAAGTTACCAAAGTCTCTTGAAGAAGAAAAGGACAGAAAAACCCACAAGGCTCCTTCACGCTAGAGTTAGAGGAAGACTTTTTCCGCCTCAAAAGCCAGGATTTGGGTTCTGGCTGCGGACGGCCGGCAGCCGCCACTCGCGGCGGACAGGTGGAGGGTGAGCCCGCACCCTGCGGGCCGGACAGCCCCAGCCGGCACTTACCAGCAGCAGCGGCGGGCCAGAGAGCCCCAGCCGGCACTTACCAGCAGCAGCCCCACCGCTCGCCCGGCTCCCATGACGGCCCGCATCGCTCTGGGCCTGTCCCGCACTGCCGCCGCTCTTATTGCCGCAGGGCGGGGGCGGGAGCGCATCGCTGCCCCGCCTCTGCCCGCGGACTCCAGCGCCTCCGGGCCGTCCCGCCTCAGAAAGTGCAGAAACCGCAGTTAATTACCGCAGGTGCCGAAGGGCTGTCCACCCTGACCACAAAAAGCGGCGGGAAAGGCTGTGAGGAGAAATTCCCCAACATTGCGCAAACGAAGGAACTATAACTGGGTTTTCTGAAGCCCTAAAAGAGTTCTCACGTTTCTCCTCAGCAGTTATTCCTCCCAGAGAAATAACATTTCTGGCCATGATTTTCCTCAAGAATACTTTTCGTTTCCCATGTGAATGTAACTGGCATGTAGGAACATTCACCTCCAGATTGTTGAAATTGGATTAAAATTAATGACACGAGGATTCATAGGCTGTTCCCGTTTGGATTATTTTTTAATCCTCCGTGGCAGCAGCCCTAAATGTTGGAAACTCTTCTGATCTGAATGAACTTGTTGGTAGTTTCTTTCACTGAACTGCTGCTCTTGTGGTAACTGTTTATTTTACTCAACCGCGGTTACAAGTCCCAGTGCAATCCCTGTGGGTGCATAGTTTGGTAAAATGGAAATAATTCAAACCATTTCCAGCACTCACATTTACACCTACTGAAGGCTTCCTGCCCAGCACTGCTTCTCTTTGGTTCAGGGGGCTTGGGTTGTTTGGGTTTTTTCCTGTTGTTGTTTGGTAACCACTTCCCAAAGCTGGGATACAATTGTATCCAAGGGATATAAACTGCCCTACTGATGTGGAGAGGCTCCTATCCATAACTCAAAACATAGACTCCAAAACCAGGATGACAGTGATGAGGAAGGCTGTGCTGATAGGCCAGAGATGTGCTGACTTGCTGAAGCATTCCAAGGAGATTAGTGGATGCGTTTGCACAGCTTTACATCCATACTCTGGCATACATCCAAAGAGGAGCAAACACTTTGAAAACTCTCACTGAGTTTTACACCACAAGTGGCACAGGTCAGACTTCCTCAGAAAGAGTGACTAGGATGACATCCTTCAGAAAGGCACCCAATCTGTGTCAGTAATGTTGATATTCTCCAAGGATGTTTCCTCAAGGATGAAGAATGCTTTGGTTTTCTGGAGACTTTTGCTAATAACAAAGCCACTCTCACCCTTTAGCATTTGTGATCAGTTTCCTGAATGTCAGCTTCTGGATGCTGGCTCTTACCCTGCCTGTTCATATCAGAGAGCTGCAGTTCTCTCTGTGGAACAATCTATTCATGATCCTCAAGTCCTTGATATAAAGGTTTCCTAAGTCTCAGATAAGTTTGTACATTTGCATGTACAAAAGTGAAAATCAAGGGAACCACTTCTCTTTCTGTGGAAGTTGCTACAATAAGAAGAAAATTTCTGACAATTTCAGCCAGAGTAGTATCAAACTGCTATTGCTGTTCTAATTTATGGCCCAGATCTGACATTCTTAGAGGCAATTTCCTATAGATTTTCCTCTAGAAAGTCATTTACTTTTAAAACACTATCAAACACAAACCCAAAAATAATTTGTCAGATAGACTGCCACTGAAAGTTGTGTGTAGTTTTATTTCAACATATCAAGCACAAACAGGTTTCCCCTAACTGAGGAATATGACGAGGAATGTACTTAAAAATTTGGAAACATTTACATTGAAAGATAGCCCAGACTGGCACCACCACTAAGTATTTTAAGGCTGTATATATAGCAGTACTTACCACTTGGAACTACTTCAGGCCAGAAAAGAAAGGCTTAGTATTGTCTGCAGTCTACAGAAAATATTGCAAATCTTTAAAAAATGGTGTAAAATAGGAAGACTATTAACAGGGTTGAACAATGCAGTGGCAAAACCCTCCCTCTTTCCTGACCTTTGACAATAAATGTGCCTAAGACCGAACACACGTACACCTACGTCGCTCCCATCCTTCTCACCTATGCTGGGGCAGTGGATTTCTCTCTACAATGCTAGTGTGTGATATTATAAAACAGCCATATAGCAAATAATAACAATAATAGTAAGTGACCAGGTTTTACAAACAGGCGTGCGTGTCTGACATCACACTCGATGGGCCAGACCCAGGACACCAGTCAGCTCCGTAACCAGACGAGGAGCTTTCACTGAATACCTCCCATTTCCTAAAGCAGGATGGCTCTAGGAAATTGTGTATATTTACAGTTTCTGTGGAATGGAAAATAAAACACATCCTGAGGTCCCATTCTGCATGGGCTGACTAAACAGATCATGACTTAATATCCCAGGGCTGGATTTTTTGGACCAAGTGTTCTCCCTCCTGTAATTAAAGGCAGCCGGACAGGCACCGTGGACATCAGTTCTTTACAGCTCCCCAACTGCTCTGCCTCACTCCTGGAGCTATGACCCAGGCCACCGTGAGTTTTTCAAAATGTTGAGGTGATTACCATTTTGGGGTTACCAATACTGCTGGGTAATTATTAATTGCATCAGAAAATGACAAAACATAGAAAACAAATTGCACAATTAAAGCTACATTTGGCTTCAGCATTAAGGCCCATACAGGTTAAGAGGTCCTTGAAGATGTACATGTAAAAGGCAAAAATGACATAATCTGCAGGAACAAAGTTTTGCAGGTTCCTAGGTCCCTTTTTAACCTCGTTTTTCCACTTCCTTCCACCTCTGCTGTGTTGGTTCTAAAGTGCTTTGGTGCCTCGCTGGGCTCCTTGCGCGAGTGGCCCCCTCCTGCAGCCAGTGATCATTATTGCTGCCAAACGTAGTGATTTTATTTGAAGACATAATTAATGAAGAGTTGACACGTAAGAAAGATGCAGAGGAGAAACCAACAGCGAGAGTCCAGGAGGAAGCTTTCAGAAGAGGCCTTCCTGTGGAAGGACTTTTTGTTCAGAGCGCTGAGGTTTCTGCAAAAGAAAGCAATATGATTACTTGTGTGTTGGAGACAGGCGTGCCTTCACATGTGTGCATACCCAGAACTTCCACACCAGGAGGGAACCCTGTACTTTGGTGACACCCTCAGGGGTAGAGCAGTGTGCCCCCCCTGACTTTGCCTCCCTCTTTTTAACAGGAAGATTAGTGCTTCTGGCTGCAGCTGGTTGGCATAGGAAAGGCACAAACCCCAAGAAATCTCTTCATCCAGCACTCACTCACAGTCCTGTGAGTTTAACCGGTGCCCTAACCTTCCCAAACCTGCCCTGGACACCCTCAGGAGCTACAGTGGAGCTAAAACCATACCACCAATGACTCTGGCACCCAGAAAGGGTAGGCTTAATGTGTGATCCCACCTCACGGAAGCCTTGGCAGGGCTGGATAATACTCCTCACACAGAAGGGAATCAGCAGGGCTCCCTGGAGCAGAAGCAGCAGTTAATACCTCCCCACAGGAGTCTGCAGGGCAAATCCCTCTGTCAGCAGCAGATGTGGTTACTGCCCCCCAGATGGCAACCAGCAATTTGTACAAAAACCTGGAGTTTAGTGCTTTTCTCCATGGAGCCCAGTTTTTCAGACCACACCCTTGCATCTCTGTGGCAAACTGAAGAAATTCCTAACATGCCTAATTCTTGCCTGTCAGAGATTTATTTTTAGCCGGGGCGTGGCCCAGTCCTTCTCAGTCAGGAGTACCTTGAGCTGAGTAACATCCTGAGGTGATGCTTTTTGCCCAGAAACAGAGTGTTAAGAGGAAGTAAACTGTTTCAAGCAGAGTGTGGATTTGTCTTTCTGGTGTGATAAGTGGTTACTTTACCTGCAACAACTTGAACTGCACTCCTGCAGCTCTCTCCTGCTCAGAGACACTCTCAAGACCACAGTAAGGAGTTAAATGCCACAAGTTATCTTTAGCCCATTAAAATCATTGATTCATGACAGAAAATGGTTACCTGTGTATGTCCTGTTGGGCTTTCTGTAGGGATAAGACAGCTGAGTGAATTTCCTTCAGGTGATTAATTTCTTTCCCACACTGAGCGCACAGGCTTTCAAACCCTGTGGCAAAGCATTGAAGGACAATTATGTTTTGCATCACCATTCTGGTGGTAGTGAAACACAACACAGCAAGTGGGTGGCTGTGAACTAATTGTCATTGCTAGGGGGGACATTATCAGGAGGAAACATAGGAAGAAGGAGACAGGGAACAGAATCTTCCACCCAGAAGATCCAAGCCATTGTAAGAGGTTCTGTGACTCTGGGTCAGGGTGCTTCTCAGTCAGCTCTAAGGAAACAATGCTCCTCAGCTGAGGGGAGGAGAAGGGAGTGCTCACACCTGCTCACTCTCTCAAACATTCAAGGTCACCTCTAACAAAGGCAAAGAAAAGAGAGAGCAACACAGCCTGTTTGCTATGCGTTGATTGTATTTTTCCAATTTTGCCAGGAGTTGGGAAATCCTTGTTGTAAGGCAGAAAGAGCACACACAGAGAACAGAAAAGCAGAACATTCTCTGTGCTGCCTGTGGGCTGCTGGCCCATGGTATTAACTGGGCTGGGAAATGTCCTGGGGCTGGCTCAAGAATTAAAGTACCAAGGCAAGAACATTAAAGCCTAACCCAGTGACACCCAAATACTTGCCATCATCATCTGAGAGCTCCTGCACTGACTCTGGCGTTGAACAGCTGCTCTCTGTGTTCTGGCTGTGGTTGGATGGCTGATCACTGGTTTTGCGGCGCCTGCAGTCTTTGGCAGACCTCTGGATAAAACAGCAATTAGAAGTTGACTCAGTCTTTATCACATTGAAGAAGTGTGCGATTGCTTTAAACAAAGTAATTTGGGGTGCTGGGAAATATGTGTGAGATTGTGAAGTTTGATTGCTTTCTCAGCAACTCATAGTAGTTGGACTCTGGCAGCTACTTAAGCATATTATACATGTGCCCCATACAGAAGCATTTCCCCAAGTGACAACATTCTTAAGACACCTATCCAAATTATGCTTCTTGTAGCTTTAACTAAAACACACTACAGATGAACCTTATAGTTCCTTTGCTGAGCTGTGTACCTAACTCAGCCAGGTACATAAGAGAAAGCGGGAAAATAAGAAA